CATATGCCATATATTTGTTACCTTTATTCTGCCAAACAATTTTAGGAGGGGACATTATAATTTAATGGACGAGGACACAGATTCTAAAAAATGAACGTGTGCTCAAAGCCAATGTGATAGTCTGGATGATTTGTCAGCAAATACCTAGTCCAGTCTCCTTCTCACTGAGTTGATAATGCAGTTTCTTAATCTCAGTGCTACAGACACTCGGGGTAGGATAATCATTGTTGTGGAAGGGCTGCCCTGTTCATTGTAAAATGTTCAGCAACATTCCTGGCATTTACCTACTAGATGCCACTAACTAATACCCCCTCCCCTGTAGTTCTGCCAGACCCAAATATCTCCAGATACTGCCAAATATCCAAGAGGGGCACAATCACCCATAGTTGGCAATCACGGAGCTAATGGAATGTTAGCAGATGGGAGCAGAGGCCTTACCCGTGCTGAGGCAATCAGGCTTGGCTCTGGCACTCCGGTGACCTGCCATGGAAGAGCACGCTCCGAGTAGCTGCCACCCCTTTGGACTGAGCCCAGCAAGAACACAAAGATCTAAACCTACCTGCAGCTGGTCTAGGTCAAGTTCGGCTAAGCCCAATCAACAAAATCTCAGCCACCATACAGCAAAGGCTAAAGAGCACAAAAACCAATGCTTGTTATTTTATGCCAGTAAGTTTTAGAATAGCTTCCTCTGGAGCATTATTATGGCAATTGCTGACAAATACAGCCAGTAACGGAGTAGAGCCAAGATTCAACACTGAGGCCCGTCTGGCTCAAAACCCCACTACTAAACAACTATGTCAAAGAGTTTTCTCAACGAATTAATATCCCTACCTCCAGGATGTGTTTGGAATACAGCAGAGATGCAATATAAGTCTGCTTTGTTAATAACTGTAAGTATTAATAAATATCAATTTTGAAAAAAATTTCAGTTCATTTTCAATATGCTACTCATATTACCTTCCCCTTTCCACATCATTAAGCCACTGATTCAGAAACGCCACAAAGAACATTATACCACATTATTTCATTTCTCAAACACTAAATCCGAAGCTTTCTTCTCCTATCAGTCCCAGAGCTATACAGAACCAAGTCCAAAACAATACCTCCAAATTAACACTTACTTCTCTAAAATAAGTTGCTAGGTGCAAACGCAAAGGCCAAGTTTAAAATAAAAGCTTAGTAGTGTTTGAAAGAGTGCAGCTTTCACAAGGGTATGAACAAGTATCTGTGGTACATCTACCATTTACCAGACAGTATTCGAACCAGCAAGAATACAACAGGAGACACTATGCCCACCCTCACAGACCCTGCATTCTGGTTGACGCTTCTATAGCATTATGGCATTTCTCAAGTGCTTTTCATGTATTAACTCACTTACAACTCCTCACAAACCTGTGAGAGACTCACTATCTCCTTAGAGATGAGAAAATGGAAAACCATAAATGACAAACAACCTGCCCAAAGTTACAAAGTAAGCTGGCAGAACCAGCCTGCAGTCTGGGTGTGAATCCATCCTTCCCACCGCTGTCACATGCCCCTTCAAAGTTTTAACAATTTGTGAGTCAAACAGGACGAACTCGCTCACAAAATCAAGCTTGGACACAAACGGGAAGGGTGGAAGAGAAGCAGAATTCATGATCTCTAAGATATACGAAGTGAAAAAATGCCAGAATAAGAATGCGTATTTGTTTCACCGTGGCCGATATCAAACTCGCAATTCTGAAATAAATCTTTTCCCATACTGCCAAAATCTGACACATTCCCTTGTTTTACTTTAATACTTTTTTTTTTTTCAAAAGCTGACATAAAGTTCCTAATATAGGTCATAAAACAGTTGCTACTCATTTGGTATAGATTAATAACCTCAAAGAAAAAAATTCTTAAATTTTTATGACAAGTTTAATTACCTTAATTCTTATAACAGGATTCTTACATGAAACAGAACTTAAGTTCTTGTAACAGAAAATTAAAATTAGGGTATTACAAAATTATCTGGAGAACCAGCATGGTTTTATATCCGTTTCTCTCCTCTTGTGAATTATAACTGAATTTCTCATTTAAAAAGCATTGTTAAAATAGAAACCTTGGGGTGCCAAGAGGCATCTGCAACTCACACACACACCTGCCTATCTGATATGCCCACTCCTGGATGTCTAACTTCAAACTCAACACCTCTCCATCTGAACCTCCATCTCCCCAGAGGGCTCCTGCCTCAGTCTTTCCACCGCAGGCACTAATGATTCTATTACTCCAACTGCTCAAAACATTCAAGCTCTACCTGACTTCCCCTCATACTCGATACCCAATCTACCAGAGCAAATGTTACCGGCTCTAAATAGCGGGATCCAAGAATTTCTAAGTCCTTTTGTTCAAGCTCCTCTTCTGCCCCCTAGCTGTGTCCCTGTTGCCACCACTGCCCCCAGCAGCAAGAATGAATCATTAAAACCCAGCTAAGTAGTTCACATCACTCCTTGGCTCAAAACATCTGACCCAGAATAGTGTCTGAAATCCCTGCTGGGTCCCACAGCCCCTACAGGACACGGCCCCTCTGCTAACTCTCTAACCTTGCATCTTACCACACTTCCCAGGCACACTCATGCCTGTCACTGTACTTGCTGTTCACGCTGCCTGGCATGTTCTTCTCCCAGATCATTTCCATGCCTTCCTCCCCATCACTTGGTTCACATCTCTGCATTCCCTCCATCTGAGAATAGATACTTTTACTATAAGTACATAGTCACCAGTTAGATGCTTAGCTCGTCTTATTTTCTGCCATAGCACTGACTGCACCTAAAGTAAACATTCATTTGTTGGTTGTCTTGTCTCTGGACTGCAATGTCTGCTCCGCAAGAGCAGAGGCACTGTGTAATTCACCACAGTACTTGCTTCCTAGAACAACGCTCGGCAAACGAACCACCTGTTAGCTCGGCTTATTCTGATGATAAACAAGTAAGAGCAGTGCCCCTCAAACTTCAACATGCGTCAGAATCATCTACAGGGCTTGGAAGGCAAATGGCTGAGTCTTGCCCCTGGAGTTTCTGATTCAGCTAGACTGGGATGGGGCTTGAATGTTTACAAGTTCCCAGAAGGTAGGGGTACGATAGTCCTGGGAACCCCATTTTGAGGACCTAAACAATATTTTGCTGCAAGACACCTGTCAGCAACAGGATTTGACCATGGCAGTGAATCCCAACTGGCAGAAGAAAGAAATAGAGTGAAAAGATACCTCCAGACCCACACTATAAAATATATCCCTTCTGACTTAGAGGATTGTATGATACAAGTCTTAAATAATGCAATATAAATATCCCTTCCTTGCACAGGATTTTTTCTTTTCCAGAAGAATGGGGACCAGGCAGATCAAGGTTATAGTCTCTAACAAGGTCTTATGATCTTACATATTCTATGTTAATGACTAGTGTTGAAACTTTATCCTTTCGAGTTTAAACGATGAGATGAGAAGGCTGATATGCTTTAGGAGATACTGAAACACCAAACAGCAGTAGACTCGAATTGGGACAGCTGCCCAAATCACAACTTCCTATCTCTAGGAATCATTCCAGTCCTCAAGTGCGGGACCAGAGAGACCATGTCTAGGTTATGTTATGTAACCTCCCATCCCCAGTCATGGCAGATTGGTCCAAAACACATTTTCTCTCCTAAGAACCTGAAGTTTGAAGATAAAGTCTGGGAGGCACTGAAGCCAAGTTATGTTAAGAGCAAAGAGAAAGTCCAAATTCCTGATGCTGAGCTTCTCAACGCTGCACCACACTTGCTCTCTCTCTCTCAAAAATAAATAAAATATTAAAAAAAAAAAAAAAGAAAGAAAGAAATGCAACTTGTGAAATGTCAAAGCTTCTTTCCATTAATCCAACTTAAGGCATTTACTTTCCATCTTTAGACTAGTATACTGTCCATACAATCAATGAGTCTTAGAGTGTACATCACATTTTGACCTTATAATACCAACTCCTTGCAGAATAGCTCTCTGAAACCTAGCAAAATACCACCAAATCGCCTTTTTATTCAATAGCTGGAGCCAATTTGCATAAATACTATGTATATAGGGAGTACATGGTAAACAACAAAAACATAGGTTCTTGTTTTAAGTACCTTGTTTTCTGTTGGGGGAAAAATAAATTTAAAAATATCAGATAGTAAATGCCACTGCAGAAAAATAAAAAGACTTACGTGAAACAATGAGTAGTAACCAGATCGCTTTTAGATAAAATGGTGAAGGGAGTGCTCCCTGAAGTAACACTTAAACTAAAATCTTAAATCCGTGTACAGCTAACCTAAAGGTACTTAGGCTGAGAATACATCTGACTTGTTCTAGCAGCCAATGGGACTACACTGTATTGAGGAAGAGGAAAAACCATTTAAGATGAAGTCGGAGAGAAGAACCATATGACGTACGTAGGGCTCTGTAACAAACACAAAGAGTTTGGAGCTAAATACAAATTAACTGGTACAGGACAAAGGCGCTACTTGCTACAAGATGTTTATGGAGTGTAGCTGAGCAAGAAACAAGAATGAAAAAGACAAAACACAAGAAAAAAATGATCAAGAATGCTTGTCATAAAAATTTTAGATCTGAAAGGCACCTCAGCTGTCACACAGTCCAACCTCTCATTTTACTGAAAGGATGGCGTGGCCCAGGCTGTGGCTTCTCTGCAATCGGTTCAAGATGAGCAGAGAACTGTATTTGGTGCTCTCTGTGACGTTAAGGCCAAAGCTCTTTCCGTATCTCTGGCCTTAATTTGAAATCTAAAACCAAGTCTTTACCATGTGCATTTTCAAAAGTGACATAACAGCACTTAAATGAAAACATTATTTTAAAAATGTTTTTAAACTGCCCACGCCAAATTATTCACACCTCTAGTCCCTCACAGGGCTTTTTTCTTTCAGCAGCTGACAATGCTTATTTACCACCAGCTATATCCCTTCCCAAAATATGTGAAGCAGAAAAAAAATTGAATAAAACAACAAAATATACTTACATCTGGATATTCTTTTACAGGCACATAAAGTTTCTCTTGTAACTGAACAATAGGTCCCACAGCGTCAGGCAATTCTGCACTCCTTTTCTCTGTACTGCCATTTAATGTGTCATTGTACATGTCTTTCCGTACTCTGCTAATTTCTGTTAAAAGTAAAAATTTTAAATGTGTTAGACAAAAAAATATTCTTGCTAGTCCAGGAAAAAAAAAAATTAAAAAAAGAAGGTAGGGAGGGGTTTCATTGATAAGGTGTTAAAGAGTAAAGAACTGTTAACCTATTCTATCATTTCCTGGATTAAGTCTATGTTTAACAGGACTATAGCTTTAATTAATTGCTACCAGGAATCAAATTTGTATCAACGAAATAATATATTTTATTTAAATTAACTTCGGAGCCCACGCTCTTAACCACTATGAGATAAACCTGTTATTTTACCTAATTTCTCCATACCTAAATGAGGCCATTCATTCCAAATGAGAACTTTAGTCAAATAAGAATGTCTATCACACAAAACTAATACCAAAGGCTCTTTTATACTTCAGAACTAATCCGTCTGAATGAGATTTAAACTGGACTACTTCCTTAGCTATTTTAGGTATCTGGATAAACACACGTCCAGTAGATAACACAGATTTTAAGTTCAGCAGAAGTCTAGATTGATACACAAATGTTAGTTAAGGCTATAGGAATAGAAGAGATGTCTTAAAGAGGATATAGGGAGAAGAAAGGACCGAATCCTAGGAAAAGCAACATTTAAGGAGTAAAGAAGGGAGATCCAAACCAAGAACTGGAGGTGAATAGAAGTAAGAAGAGAGGTGTCAAAGAAGCTGAAGAATAACAGAACCAAGGACAAGGTGATCAATAGTGTCAAATGCCACAAAAACATAGTAATAAGGTAAAGAGCAAAAAAGGGTACTTTGAATTTGACCACTAAGCCACTGGTGATCAGAGAAGTTTCAAGGAAAAGATGGTTAAAAGAGATCAAACTACATTGCATTAATGACTGAAATATAAGAAAGAAAGCAGAAATACCTGAGGTCAATGACTTTAAAAAAAAAAAAAAGTTTGAGAGACAGCGCGAGGCAACGCGTGCATGCAAGCACAAGCACGTGCACACAAGTGGGGGAGGGGCAGAGAGAGAATCCCAAGCAGGCTCTGCACTGTCAGCCCAGAGCCCAATGCAGGGCTCGAACCCACAAACTGTAAGATCATGACCTGAGACAAAATCAAGAGTCAGACACTTAACCGACCAAGCCAACCAGACACCCTGGTCAATGACCTTTTAAAAAGTTCCCAGACATAAATATATTTCTTATAAGAAAAAGTATAAGAAATCTACTTAAATGAATCAAGACTTGAACAAAGGAATCAATTCTTTCAAGAATTCATTAAGTTTCCAAGACGACATGTTAGAGGACAGGCCCTGCCCATCGGAACATAACTGTCTAATAAGGGTTGTCACTACTAAATTAGCTGGATGGCCCTATAAATGTCTCTCCATGCTACAGAAAGGGGGGAAAAGGCTTGTGTCCATTAAAATTTAAAGGTAAAATGGGCTTTATTTTTATAATGTATTTTGTATACCTTCCAAACATGGAATTTCAATCTGTTGTGATTAAGGAACTATGAAATATGAATGTACAACACTTTAATTTTCATAACTAGTTATTTATATCTCTTTGTTAAATAAAACCCACCATACCAAAAAGGCATGATCAAAGGTGTTCTTACCCGGTTATATAGTCTTAAATCAGTGAAAATACTGTATTACAATACATTTTCTGCTTCAATGATGGCAACATTCATTTTATAACCATCTTATCTCTGAGGTAACAATTTGCTTGTCAAAGCTTACCAAATGTGCGTCTCTGAATAGCAAATGAGATTTTTTAAAAATCAAAAGAATGCACCTTGGATTTAACTACATTATAAAACCAAGACTTCATTCTGTAAGTTTTTTGTGTATTTCTATTATAATAATGAATCTTTCCTACTAAACATGTCCAGTATCAAACTAGTGTTGACTTTATATCAGCATGCAACAGCAATTCTCCATCAAGTTTTCAACCACTAAGTAATAATTTAAACATAAATGTTTACATAATTACATAATTACAGCAAGTAATTAACCAAAGGACATTAGGGAAATTCAATTAAAAGTGTGCATATATCCTTTAGTCCAGGTCTCTATGTAAAAGCACTTTCAATATTAATTTGTTACATTTAAATTTCCTCTTCAGAAACTGCCGAATTCTTGTTACGATGTTAGTAACACTGATATAAAAATCCTGACAACAGCATAAAAGAAAACTATAGATAAAATGTGCTTACAAATATAAATATAAACATCCTAAATGAATAGGGTAGCATATTAAATAAATAACGCACCAAGGAAGTGGAATTTATACCATGAATACAAGAAGAATTCAATATTAAAAAACCTATAACCATAGTAATACAAAAGACTAAAAAAGAAAACAACATTAATTCCAGGTAAACAAATTTATCAAACTTAGATAAACCAAGAGAATCAATTATAAGAAAATTCACATAAAATGATTAAATTAAAAATACATAAAGATACAATAATCACTGATCACATATCCAATTAGATGATAAAATGGAAGAAAAATACATTTGCCATTTAAATTGAATTTCTATAAACATCTGTGTAATTCTCTGATTAGTAACTGAAATTTTGATGAGACTCTGCTGCCGGCTGTAGCCCCAGCTCCTAGAACAGTGCCTGGAGCAACGGCAAGCCCTCAGTCAACACTCCATGGTCTGGAAGATGGGTGGGTGAGTGAGCTAGGTTCTAAGGCATTAAAGTTAAGTCAAGGTTCCAAGCTTTCAAAGAAGCTAGTCTCCTATGGGAAGTATGTGAACAAATAGATACTCCAAAGAAGAAGAACAGAAAGAGGTATAGATTGGAAACACAAAAGCAGGATAATCAACTCTGCCACAGGCTGTTAAGGTCAAGAAAGTAGTCCAGAGGAAAGAAACTCGGACCTTTGTTTCTAATTACAGAGGGTTGAGGCAAAGGTACAACCAATATAATTATAAATTCTACTTAATATGCAAAGTCTTTCTACCATGTTTCTTTCAGTCTCTAAGATATATTACTCAATTTAACAACAGAACACAAATTATATACACAACATCGTAGGATGGGAATGACAAGATGACTAAGTCCTAGTTCGCAAGGATCTTACCATCTTACTGTGGGGTCTACCCAGCGGAGTGCTTAACTGCCTTTATCAACAGCACCCTTCTAGCCAGGCAATCACGAGCACTTCCTGGCATGTTACTTCCAACACTCAAGTCAAAACAAGTTCTGGGGCTCAGATGGTAGGGTAGAGTGTGTGACTCTTGATCTCACGGTTTTAAGTTCAAGTCCCATGCTGGGTGCAGAGACTACTTAAACAATAAATCTTTAAAAAAAGAAAAAAAGTTCTGATTCTAAGAGTAACTGTTTATGTGATTTTAGACAAGTCTCTTAACCTCTCTGTACCTGTACCTCACTAATTAGAGGTTGATTACCGAACAACTCAACTGAATCCATTGTTTTCCAACCTTAGTATGCAAGGACCCCAGTTATTATTATTTTCCCCCTTGTAACCCCACATTTTAAAAAGTTTTCTTCTCCAAAGCTTTCAGTCCTAAGTCATGGTAATCAGAAGTTTTTGTTAATGTTTTCCTATCAAGCTGATCTAATCATAGCCAAAATATTACAGAAATGCGTCATGGGTACGGGTAGTGCTTTAGTTCCTTCTTAAGTGGTGGATTTATAGGTGTTCACTTATGAAACACAGAAGCTCTTCATAATTAATATGTTTTATACAGATGACCCTTGAACAACACGGTTTATGCTACACAAAGATTTTCTTATTGCATTTACACAAGACTTTCTTATTGACATTTTTTTCCTCTAGCTTTTATTGTAAGAATACAGTATATAATACATATGACATACAAAGCACATGTTAATTGACTGTTTATATTATTAGTAAGGTTTCCAGTCAACAGTAGACTATTAGTAATTAAGATTTGGAGGAGTCAAAAGTTACACACGGATGTTCCATGAGGGGAGTCAGTGTCCCTACTCCCTGCACTGTTCAAGGGTCAACTGTATACTTTTGTTGTATCAAACATTACATGACAATGCTCAAATGTCTGCTCATCTCCACACTACTTTCATAACCTACAAGAGTGGTTCAGAGAACTAGAAGTTCAGAACCACTTGTTCCATCACCTAGTATAAAAATTCCCACCACAGGGGCGCCTGGGTGGCTCAGTCGGTTGAGCGTCCGACTTCAGCTCAGGTCATGATCTCACAGTCCGTGAGTTTGAGCCCCGCGTCGGGCTCTGTGCTGACAGCTCAGAGCCTGGAGCCCGCTTCTGCTTCTGTGTCTCCCTCTCTCTCTGTCCCTAACCCACTCGCATTCTGTCTCTGTCTCTCTCAAAAACAAATAAACATTAAAAAAAAAAAAATTCCCACAATTACCCCCAAACATCCCCAATATCAAGACAACTTGTTTTAGACATCTCTGGAGTTATCAGTTTATAAATTTTACTGAATCAAAATTCCTGAAATTTCTCTCATTTGCCCACACTCCAAAGTCCACAAAGTACATCAAATGCCTCATTCTTAAGATGATCTTAAAAATACTTGAACAGTTCTATACCTAAGTATCCTCTTCTGAGCTTTAAAACAGCATGGTTTTATACCCTCTCACTCATTTAGACACACTACATTTGTCCATGCCCTTTTAAGATGGAAAATCCTGTACCACACTCATCCTGAGAACTGATGAGAATGCACACTCCGGCTGCCTACCTCCAGTCCCCCACACTCCAATTCCACAGCGTGCTTAAGGGTACCTTTACCTCTTTGGCTCAAATGTGGGTGGCGCTAACAAGCCAAGGGTCCACCATTTCATCTTCCACAACTGTTTGTTTAAATACCAATAGATGATTTAACTTTTTTTCCTGGTTGTTTTCTACTAGGCAACTGCCTTCAGAGTGTTATCTGTCAGTTGACATTCTTTAGGGATGACTATTCTGAGTCAAGGAGCCAATTAACTAGTTTCATAGCACACGCATTTCTGTAGCTCGCATACTGAAATGCAGGCATGCCTTATCACCTATCTGATGACATCTCAAGCTA